TGGCTCAAGTGGTAGAGTGGTAGCCTTGAGCTGAAGAGCTGAGGGACAGGGCCCAGGCCTAGAGTTCAGGCCCCATGACCAGACCCCCCCCCCAAAAAAAAAAAGAACTTCCCCTGACTGCCAAGAGACTTAAGTAGTTGACAACATAGTAGGACAACATAGTAACAGCATAATGGTTTTCTGAGACAGGATCTTGCTTTGTAGTACACTGGAACTCTCGATCCTCCTGTCCACCCTTCTGTGTGTTGTATTACAAACATGCACTACTACACCAAACAAGGAAACAATTTTAACTATTTGCAGTGTCCAAAAATGGCCAGGCACTGTAATCCTAATACTCAGGAGGCTGAGATCTGAGGGTTGAAGTCCAAAGCTAGTCTAGGCAGACAAATCCAAGAGACTCTTCTCCAATTAACCAGAAAGAAGCCAGAAGTAGAGGTGTGGATTCAAGTGATAGAGTACTAGCCTTGAGTGAGAAAGTCAAGCAAAAGCATAATGCCTCAAGTTCAAGCCCCAGGACAAGCACGATTTTAATGTCTAAAGATGGGATATGCAAATCTGGGAAGTCATGTGGCATATCTTTTGTTACTGTTTTGTTGTGTTTTTATTTTATCAGCTGAAATTGGTTGAGGGAAAGATAGAGACAGGGCCTACTATGGAAATCCATGCAAGAGACAGTAGATACATGCCTGCATTAAGACAGCAGTAGTGGAGATGTAAGCAGGGAGGAAAATCAGAGATGATAAAGCTGGGAGATCAGAGAGAGGATTAAAGGACAAATTTGGAGCCAGGGGCCGATGGCTCGCACTTGTGATCCTAGCTACTCAAGAAGCCAAGAGCTGATGATCATGGTTTGAAGCCAGCCCCATCAGGGAAGTCTGTGAGACTTAGCTGTAGTTAATCACTGAAAATGCCAGAAGTGGATCTGTAGCTCTGGTGGTAGAGTGCAGCCTTGAGCAGAAGTAGCTCAGTGACAATGCCTAGGCCCTGAGTGCAAGTCCCAGGACTGGTGTACACACACACACACAGACAAAAGGACACATTTGGAACATCTAGTTTGGATGGTTTTCACCAGGGAAGAGAGCACAGGAAGAGACCCCAGGATGGAGGAAGATGAGTTCAGTGTGAGACATGAGCAGAGATGCCTATAGGATAAAAAGGTAGAAGTGCTAAAGGTTGGTTATACTGTTCTAGATTCCTACAAAGAGATCGGAGCATCACTAGAATATGTGGCAGAGTTTCTTAATCTGAGTGACAGTTTCAGAAGGATTTAGGATGCAAGCATTTATGGATGCACATGTGCTCTCCTAAGGAGAGGGCCTATAGTTTTCATTAGGTCCGTGTCTGCAAGTTAAAGGCATGCTATCCGCTAGAGGGCAATGCAGGGCAAGCTTTGTGTGTGCTTCATTTCACAGGGAATTAGCTAAACAGTAGTTATGTCTGTAATTAATTCCCTGTTAAAAACAGCTGTGTCTGCTCATTGGGCAGTGTTCCAAAGCACTCAAAGGTCATAAATTGGGTTCTCAGTGGGCAGTATTTAGCTGTCCACATCTAAAATGTGAGCCTGGGAGGGCTTACCAGGACTTGAGAAAGTGTCCTTCCTCACAGATGCCAACTCTGGCCAACTGGCTATCAGTGTCATGATATACACATGGCACTAGTTGCCAGAAAAGGATTTTTAAGACAACTACATGTCCAAGCTTGCCTTATCAGTCCAGTTCTTTTTAAATTTTTTTTTTTTTTGGGTCCGGTCGTGGGGCCTGAACTCTGGGCTTGGGTGCTGTCCCTCAGCTCTTCAGCTCAAGGCTACCACTCTACCACTTGAGCCACAGCGCCACTTCAGGCTTTTTTTTTCTTCTGCTTATGTGGTGCTAAGGAAGCGAACCCAGGGCCTCAAGCATGCAAGGCAAGCGCTCTACCATTGAGCCACCTTCCCAGCCCTCAGTTCTTTTTTTGAGTGTGTGTGCCCACACACTGGTACTGGGCCTTGAACACAGGGTCTGGAAGCTGCCCTTTAGTTTTTTCATTCAAGGCAGGACTTCTACCACTGCAATCCTTGGGCACTGGTGGCTCATACCTATAATCCTAGCTACTCTGGAGGCTGAGATCTGAGGATTACAGTTCAAATCCAGCTCAGGCAGGAAAGTCCATGAGAACTCTTATCTCCAATTAACAACCAGAAAACCGGAAGTGGAGCTGTGGCTCAAAATAGTAGTGCACTAGCCATCCTTGAACTAAAAAGCCTCAGAAACAACTTCCAAGCCCTGTGTTTAAGCCCCATGAGCAACAGAAAGAAAAAAAGTGCAATCTTCAGATCTCAGCTTCCTAAGTAACTAGAATTACAGGCATGAGCCACCAGAGCCTGGTGAGTCAGATTTCTGACCTGTAAAATAAGAATTCATATCTCCGTATCAATGAGATAATCAATGCCAATACTCCATGGGAAAGGGGTGAGGGTAGAAGGGACTATAATGGCTCCAGGAGGTGTTTGCCCAGGATGAAGTTAACTATAAAGACAGGATCAAACTCACTGAGAGATGGTGGTGGCCAACTGGAACTCAGCAATGCAAAACAGCTTGTTCTTGCAGGCCTTCTCGTAGGGCAGCTGTAACCAGAGGAGTAAGGGTCAGTGAGGTGAAAGAGGCTTCAACTTTCCCAGTAGCCCTGCCTCTTAACCTTCTCCTGAGGATATTTGGCCTCTCCTGTCTCCTGTCTTAAGTACAATTAGGAGTAAAGGCTGATGCTGGGATGTTTCCACACAACCAGGACAGCCAACAAAGATATTCACAGACCTGGCCTATAACATGGACATACCACTTTGGCCACTGGCCAAAGTAAAGCATGTGGTGCCCTTCATGGAATTATACATATCATATGCACTAAGCAGTAATTCCCATAACGATCCTCACTAGTGCCATCGTAAGGACAGGAAAAACCTGCCTGTAGTCTTTTCAAGGACAGTCAGGAGAGCAGGGCAGGAATAGGAGTCACCCGATCAGATTTTTTTTGGGGGGGTCTGGTTGTGGGGCCTGAACTCTGGGCCTGGGTGCTGTCCCTCAGCTCTTCAGCTCAAGGCTAGCGCTCTACCACTTGAGCCACAG